TTTGTAAATGAATATCCTGTCTAAATGAATACAAAATTGGTCCACCGACCATATTCATTTAGACAGGTTTGACTGTAGATAAATTTCCGACCCCAGATCGGGAACCGGAATTTTCTTGACATAAGGATATCCAAAGAATACAACATAACGATAAACTCTAAATCGATTGTGTATGTTTATATTCAAAAAAAATAAATATAGCATATTTAATTACCGGACAATTAATTGATACGTACGATCATTTTTCGGTGCTATATTTAGGTAAAGCAGAGATCCGATCCGTTAACTGACTTCGGATCAAATTAGATCTAATTTAAGCCAAAAACAGATAACGATAATAGATCGCATCTTTAAAATAAAGTATAAATGTGGTTAGACTAGAAGGAAGTTAAAGCATAAAGGCGGGAAATTAATTCGGCTAAAGAAAAGATCATCACTGCTACGAGAATTCTCGACGAATCTTATAGGTATGTGACAGTTCAAATTGTAGACTAATGAATTATTTAAGCGGATACTAGTTAGTTACAATAGTGCAATGTGAATATTGTTGTTTAATCCTGTAATCAAGTTTAAAAAGAAAAGTAGTAACAATAAATAGGTACAAACCTGACCTCTTGTAGCTAACGCGGTTGTTTCAGAATTTAACAATCACAATCATCAATTTCCTAATATATCCCTTTCAATAGGCTCAAACAAAGAATCCGACTGGTATATTTGATCAAAAAAATCAGTCTGATTTTCTATCGAGTTCACTGAAAACCATGCGTGAGATCACAAAATTATTGGTCAACAGTCATACGAGTCAATATGATTCCATACGAGAAACAAATCTTTTATCTGAACCTATTTCGATAGATCTTTTATCCGAACACAAGGAATATAAGATAGTGTAATGTAAAGAGATCGGTAACGCAAAGAATACTGCAAAAGTTAATGATCATCATTAGCAATTACACGATACATACGTAGGTTCTAAGAAAATTCTTGCGATTATCAATTAATCTAGGCGGCAGAAAATCCACGGAAAAAAATGAAATAAATGAAAAAATTTAGAAATCTACCGTTTAAATCTACACGGGAGAAAAGTTTTTCTTAGAAGTTACCATTATGTTTAGCATTTTTAATTAAGAGGATGATACTTTTTTTTTAGTTTACGAAAACCAAGACTAAGACCAGGAGAAGAGAGTAGACTATACAAAACGCCTTCACTTTTGTGATACATTGGATTAACAATTCTGGGCATTTTATCGCTTAAAATGGGAAATGATACAATGCAATACAACAAAAAAAGTGAAATTACAACAAATTTGGAAAAATCAGAGTTCACAACTTTAAGGGCATCGTTCTAGCGTGTTAACTAGCGTGTTAACTAGCGTGTTAATTACAAATTAAAATATCCTTTAATTCAAACAACCATAATAATAAAACACAACTTTGAACTCTTAACTCCTAACTACATAGATCCCACCCGATACAATTTTTGATAATGATTACGTACATAAAATATATTTTACACTTCGATTATTTTAGGCCGGAAGCGAAGCGACGGGTTACATACTATATAGTAACAATAAAGATCGGCCGGAGAGAACTATTTAATCAATGCTATGAATGTATGGAGAAATTCATGTTAGTGAGATACTGTTGACGAAAGTGAAGGTAGATGGTTGACAACATATCGATACATACATTTGAAATCTGGTAACAGTTTCCAACACAATATAATCATCACTTTGTTCATCATAATCAATCTTAGATACGGAGAATACAACATAGACTCTATTAACAACGTGAGCCGGCATGTTATTGTTGTTAATATTTAAAATAGTTGCTTCAGATTGATTGCCAGTATTAGCGATAAAATTATATTCATCGATGAGTATGGTATCGATATTGATTTCGGCATAAATTTTTGCATTAACATTAAACTCAGCACCATTCCTGATATTATGGTTGATTCTCAATGTCATTAACTCAATCCTATTAGTGCCAATTTCATCTCTGTATACTTCAACCTCTTGTTGAGATAAATCATGGATTGTACGAGTATCAAGAACTTTGTGAATCTGATGCATTAGAGCGGTGAGAGTGTGAAACAATAAGTTATTGTGCCAAGAGAAAAAAACCTGAAGATATTTTCAATACTGAGTTCTTAAAAAAAAATACGCATATACCGATACTACACACTTGTATATATATATACAAGCAAAGGGGTTAACAGTTTTTACTACAGATTACTATTTCGAGTTCTGGGGTATCTGTATTTCCGCCCTCTTGGGTGCCTTCTACTAATTTATAATAGGCGTATTTTAGTCAAAGCCTTCATAGTCGGGAGCAGGCATTTTTTTTCAATATTATATAGTAAGAATAATGTAAAAATACATCTATAATCAAAACAAGGAAGTTTCCTTTCAAAAGGTATGTATTGTATAATCAATTGACTTTTAAAATAACTTAATAAATGTTGGTTAGTAGCACTGGTTTGTGACGAAGGACTTAAGAGCTAAGATAATGATAAGAGACTTTGAATAAATTATTGTGATCCTTTGCAGTATTGCATGTTTATACATAACTAATATAGATAAATCATGTGATAGATGTAAAAAACAATTACCCGACTTTTTTGCTTTGTCTGCCAAAGAATTTTTTTTTATTTATTGGATTAGCACTAATGTACAGTGTTGGACATCTTCCCCAGCGCAACCAACAAAAAACCTCGGGCACGTGAGTGGCTGTGGCTGTGAAATTGACTTTGTACTACGTA